CAGCAGGTTCATCTGGAACGACTTCAACGGGGTCATTCGCCAGAAGCTCGGCGACAACTCTAGCATGCACCTCAGGATCTTCTAGAGGGGCAATGCTAGGCGTATACTCTTCTTCCGCGGCGTCTTCGGTTTGCACGGAGGAGGAGTGTGATGATTCACTAGGTGCATTGCTTCTGGCGACCTGACCTTCCGGTCGGCTTGGCGGTGTGCCTTTGGCGGGACACGCCATTGCTGAGTCGCCATCCCACACGTCGTAGTACGGGACATAATCTCGAACTTTGAGATAAATTCTCGTCCCATCAGGCTTGACAAAGAATGGCTTCTCTTTTGCATGCCAGATGAAGTCATAACCCTGATTCATGCACTTCAAACCTACGGAGAGAACAGAGGGTGTTTGTGGCAACAAGTATGGATCCGTGTTCCCAAGGTCACCTGCGGCCATGTTGGCCTGCTTTGACGAATCACTTGGTCCATTGGCAGTCATCAACATCACGGGATCATTTGAATTATAAATTGCATATTCGGGGCAATTCGCGCGAGTGAAAAGGTCGGTCCCACTGCCAGTGTCAATAATCCATGAACAGTTCGGAGAAAATCTCTTGCTCGCCAGTGCGGGCTTTGCGCCCATGTCTCTCGGGGCACATTGCCAACATCCGATCTCGCTGTCACATTCGTACTTGCATCTAGTCGGATGGCCTTCCAATTCACGCCTCACAATGAAGGCGAGCATGGTTGCTTCGAGTCTCGCATCATCTATGCTGACTTCGTCATGGAAAAACTGATGGTCGATTGGGTAGACCTTTGAATACACGCGCGGTTTGTCCGCGATCTTAAACTGCTCACCATGTGCTGGTATCCTATTCATTTCAACCTTCGAGCTGAAACGCACACTCGGGAGGGCAGGCCCATGCTTCCAGTCCGACATGAGGTTCCCCTCAGCGATAGGGGCGTTCATCATGGAAGACAACAAGCATCCCAACACACAAACAGCAGCAGGGGAAGGCTTTCCGGAAGACTTTCCCTTGTGACCCTTCTTCTTCTCTCCCTTGGAGTCACGGGAAGTGGATCGAGAGGTCGACTTGGAACGATCCCTGCTCGACTTGCGATGCTTCCGGTCCTTTCCCTGCTTCTTTTGCTTGTCTGTGGAAGGCTCCCTTGACCCTGGAACGGCCGGCTTCGGATCGATGTGAGCAAATGGGCAGTTTTCACCACGGTCACATCTCCCCTTAGGGTAGAATCGGCACTCTTTCTTTCCCTTTGGGCTATTCGTTCGGCCTTTACCCTTACCCTTCTTAGGCTTAGCGTCTCTTGATGGGGTCCTACCCCTTGCATCGCCCGATGGCTGTTCATGCTTGTACGTGCAATTGTCCCGCCGACACGACCCATACTTGACAAATGCAATGCAAAACCCCTTAGGCACACGTTGGCTCTCAGCAGCGGGTGCGGCTGGCCTACCCCCGTTCTGCCTAGCAACCCGTTCTCGGTTGCGCTCGAGCCTTGCTCGAGACAGGTATTGCCTCACAGATTCAATCAAGTAGGTGTATGAGTGATCGGCGGACTCTTCCGAGGCGCTCAAATAGACATTCAAATGGTGTTGCATTTGCTTGCTCTTTTTCAGCTGGTTGTAGAACAGAGCCTCAAGCATGGAGTCATCCGGCGTCTTGGCATTCATTCCTGCAAGAACACCCTCCCAGCTACGCATGAAGGAAGTGAGGTTATCGTTCACGAGCCTCACGTTGAGGAGATCCTCCATGGCATAGGTGGCTCCGTGCTTGATGTTCGTGCTCAGGTGCTCATGCACCATAAGAAGCACTTGTCTCCCACGAACTGGATTCCTCTTCTGCGCCTCTATCTCCTTGAAGGTGTCGACTTGTCTCGCCAGGTCACCCTGAATGATGTTGGTGAGGGCGGACAGCAACTTGGCGTCCAATGTGAGGAAGGCACCGGGATCTTTGAGCTCCTCGATTGTGACGGCGGGCTCCCACACTCTGCTGATCCACGTGAAAGCGTCATCGGGGCGGTCGGATGCCGCACATACGGCTTCCCGCACCTTGATGCGCCAATTCCTGTAACTCTCAGGAAGTGGGAAGGATGGAACAACAATCCTCTCCGCCTCCTTGACCTTGGGCTTGTCATGGTCTGCGTCCACTGCGCTCGCCTGCTTACCCAAAATCTTGTTGAGCTTCTTGCGGATCACTCGTGCCTTCTCCGATGATGATGATGAGGATGATGATGTTGAGGAGCTGGATGATGAAGAGCTTGGAGAGTCGGAAGGAGACCCACTCTTTCGCTTCTTGTGGTTCTTCTTCTTCTTCTTCTTGTCCTTTTTGCTCTTCTTCTTTTTGTCCTTCTTCTTCTTCTTCTTCTTGTCCTTCTTGCTCTTCTTCCCATCGTCATTCCCATCGTCATCGTCGTCGTCAGGATCATCGTCATCATCGGGTTTGCCGGCAGGTGGTTCCCCACCGCCTCCGCTTTGGCCATTCCCTGCGCCTGATGGACATCCGCCACCATCGTTAGGGTCCTGTGCCGGGGATGTCGGTTCGTAATCCCCGGCATCCCCGTCAAGATCATCGGCGGCACCTGGCCCGTCACGGCGGAGTTCGGTGGAAGCTGACCTGACACGTACCTTAGAACTAAGATCCAGGCCAGGGGGAGGAAACGTCTGTACAGGAGAGGCCTTTGGCCTCAGACCGAAAATCGGAACATTAGAAGAACTACTCTGCTCACTGCGAGATTTCAGTTCATGACGTAGTGCCTCAATGTCCCTCGACTGCTTCATGATAATCTCCCTCATTTCAGCAGCGTTCCTGTCCGCATCCTCCTTCTGCTTGTTGTGGGTGACCTCCCAAATCAATTTGAGCCGTTCATACTTCTGTTCAGCTTCTGAGCGTTGAGCAACCCACTGCTGTCTTGCCTCATTAAACTCTCTTTCTTTCGCCATTGCCTCTTGTTGGCATACTTTGATGTGGTTCACCGCGTCCTGATAGAGTCGGCCTTTTTCCTCAACATGGCCGGCTTGGAGCTGATTGATGATGGCGTCGTGGCGTGCCGAAGCATAGGCAGCCACTTCCTCCGTGCTCGGACCTGTGTTGACCACATTCACCGTCTGGCTGTGTTGATATATATTCGGGGCGCTCACATGATGTTGATGAAGGTGAGTCTCATTCTTGGTCATGTGCGCGTGCATCTCTTGCCCAGGTTGATGTCCGGCGAGAGGTTCCCCTCCGCTTCCCATCGAATCCTCCGGAAGAACGACCGATGTGATGGGCACAAGCGCATCACCTTGGTCGGATTCAGGAAAACTGCTTCGGGAGCGCTGTGACGGATTGCATGGCGGTTTCCCTTCCGGATGCCCACCCTTTATCAATTCGTTGGCCACTGCTTCGTTCATCCTTGCTATGGCAGGGTGGCATCCGTCGCCGCTTGACGCCATTGCGGCGCGGGTGAGAGCTGACTGTACAAGGTACCAGCGATACGGCTGATAACCTGTTGAAAGGTGGGATCTACCTAAAAGTCAGCACGGGCAGCAGCTTGTTTTTCTTGAGCCAGTATTATGTCGGTACGCCATTACCTATCAACACTGTTCAAATATGTTGGTCGATATTTGTGTATCTTGGCACCAAAAATGATCAAACATGTTGGTGGATGCTTGTTGCATCTGGGCTCCCAACAAACAATTGTTCAAATATGCTGGTCGCTTGTGTTGCATCTTGGCGCCCAACCAAAAAAATATGTTAGACTTTGTTGGTTGATCTGTCTTTTCCTGCGGCACCCAACAAAAATATATGTTCGAATATGTTGGTCGACTTGTTTTGTATCTTGGCACCCAACCGGAAAATATGTTCAAATATGTTGGTCGTGAGCTTCGTATCTTGGCACACAGCGAAAATAGCTGTTCATGAGTTGGCCGAGTTCTTTGTATGTTGGCGCCCAACCAACAAAAATGCTAAACTTTGCTGCTCGATTTTAAGCCTCCGGCACCGAACAAAAATAGATGTTCAAAGCGTTGGCCGATTTGTGTTTTTTCATTTTTCTGCGGCACCGCAAACACATGTCCAAATACGTTGGTCGACTTGTTTTGTATCTCGGCACCCAACCAAGCAGCATGTTACCCAACAAAAAGAAAGCTCAATTATGCGGGTCGAGTTTCTTTGTCTTTGCACCCAACAAAAACAAGATGTTCCAACATGTTGGTCGAGTTATTTGATCTCGGCACCCAACGAAAAAGACGTTCATATGTGTTGGTCGTAAGTTTTGTATCTTGTCACCCAACAAAAACAGATGTTCAAATATGTTGGCTGATTTGTGTAGCTTGGCACCAAACGAGACAGATGTTCAAATATGTTGGTCGATTTGTTTGTAGCCTGGCACACAACAAAAAAGACGTTCCAATGTGTTGGTCGTAAGTTTTGTACCTTGTCACCCAACAAAAACAGATGTTCAAATATGTTGGCTGATTTGTTTGTAGCTTGGAACCCAACAAAACAAACAACTGTTCAAATATGTTGGTCGATATTTGTGTATCTTGGCACCAAACAATGATCAAACATGTTGGTCGATGCTTGTTGCATCTTGGCACCCGACAAACAAATGTTCAAATGTGTTCGTCGATGTTTGTGTATCTTGGGCACCCGGCAAAAAATAACTCAAATATGGTGGCCAATATGTTTGCCCAACAAAAAGAAATGTTCAAATATGTCGATCGTTGTTTCTGTATCTTGGCACCCAACAAACAAATATGTTGAAATATGGTGCTCGACTTGTTTTGTACCTCGGCACGCAAGAAATATATATGTTCAATATGTTGGTCCATTGTCAACCCTAACCCCCGAAAGAAAAGGACCGCCCCAAATCAATCATCCTACATCTTGACTTCACCCCCCAAAAAAGAAGAAGAAAAAAACACATATGGATCCAACGTCACCCGGTTCATCGGGGCATCCTTCGGCCCAAACGAAAACCACAGCCCCCGCGCGAGAGTCCGTTTTTGGTCGAGGTGCCAAGCCCACGGCCTCGTTGATGTAGGCGCCCCGCGCTTGGAGCCAAGAAACTAGCTCCAAGAAGTTCTCCTGGGCTTATTTTTTTCTAGTGGAGTTGGTTGCATGGCTTTTTGGGTTAGGGAAATGCTCAAGTACCAATTCCCCAATTGGGGAATTTGAGGTTGTGCGGCTTTGGGTTTTGGAAGGCAGCACAAACTCCCCAAGCCCATGGGGAATTGAATGTCACCTGTGGGTTGGTGGCTCGATACTAGGTACTTGAGTGTGCAGCCAAATGGCGGGCCACCTGGGTTATAAGCCAGCGTGGTTGACTCCACTCAAGGGAGCTTGTAAGTGGGTTGCAACCTAGGCCACCAAAAACTTAGTAACTTGCCCGAACACCCACGAAAGGAATCACCAGAGTCATCAAAACCTCGTACCAAAAAAGTCTACCCAAAACCATGGAAAAAGTTGCGACTGTTAGTAGATCCCAGTGGCCATTGGACTAACCCATGAGCCACGGTCAAAACTAGAACCAACTTGTTCTGGTCACTTTCTAGTAGAGAGGCCTCTATCGATTTTCAGATCTCAACATTGTTTCAGGGGTATTGTGCAAGGATCTCGCTTCAAGTTCCCAAATGTATTTGTGCAAATTGCAAGGAAGACTGCAAACATCCTACGTTCATATAGATCTGCATCATCTTGACACCGCCTCACATGTTCCCACGCAGGTTGGCTGGAACCCCCGTTCTATGGGAGATGGAATCATTGTGATGCGGGACCCGCCTGGGGGACGTGGCACAGGAAATCGAGTCCGGGATAGACCCATTTGCATTCTGTCTTGTGACTTCTGATTCAATGCCGGTTTTTAAACTGTAAACCGTTTCGGTTCCAGCCACTCTAGGACTTGGCCCCAAGATTGAGAAAAGCGGCAACTCTTGAATGATTCGGGCACCCGCCTAGGGTTTATCGACTTGATGGCCGCGATGCGAGTCTTTTTGTCGCATGTGTTGTCTTACTTTTTTTGGGGGGGGGCGGTGAAGCTTTGGTCTCAAACAAACAACCCAGGCCCAGGGTCGATCTCTTGTGATTTGTTTAGCCATGGGAACATATGTTTTCTTTTCTGGTTTTCTGGGATCTCGAAATGTTGGTGTGGCTAAAGATCGGAAGCGGAGCCCACAAAATGCCGCGCTTCCTTTTAGTGTCCTCTTTTTGAACAAATCCAAAGGGGGATACCCAAAAAGACAGACCCATTTCCTAAAATGGCAAGGGGTTCTTTGTCGTTTCCCTTTAAATGCCAAACAAGCGCGCCTTTCCACCTTGTTCATATGCACGTGTCCCCTACATTATTGCATCCCTTTAGAATACCAAGCAAAACCAGGTCCCCGTTTTGAGAAGCTTCCATTTCTTGCTGGTTCTCAGCAGGGAATAAGAAATGGAATGAACCCGAGATAACCATCCCCTATGGTTTCCTCAACGGAATCCCCCTTCTGGTTCATTCCCAAACCCGGAAGGTCATTCCCTGTCAATCGCACCAGCAAGGAAAGGAATGCATGGTGGTCCCCTAAATGGTTGGTCTGTATTGAAAAATATACAATACCAACTAAAACAGGGTCCACTATTTTGAGAAGCTTCCATTTCTTGCGGAATGAGGGAATCCCTATAAACCATCCCCAACAATTTCCCGGAAGGTCATGCCCTGTCTGTCACACCAGCAAGAAAAGCACTTTTTATGGGTGACATGCATGGTGGTCCCCTAAATTGTTGGTGTGTTTCCAAAAACATACTAACCACAACCGGGTCCACCATTTTGAGACGCTTCCATTTCTTGCTGGTTCTCAGCAGGGAATAAGAAATGGAATGAACCCGAGATAACCATCCCCTATGGTTTCCTCAAGGGAATCCCCCTTCTGGTTCATTCCCAAACCCGGAAGGTCATTCCCTGTCTATCGCACCAGCAAGGAAAGGAATGCATGGTGGTCCCCTAAATGGTTGGTCTGTATTGAAAAATATACAATACCAACTAAAACAGGGTCCACTATTTTGAGAAGCTTCCATTTCTTGCGGAATGAGGGAATCCCTATAAACCATCCCCAATAATTTCCCGGAAGGTCATGCCCTGTCTGTCACACCAGCAAGAAAAGCACTTTTTATGGGTGACATGCATGGTGGTCCCCCAAATTGTTGGTGTGTTTCCAAAAACATACTAACCACAACCGGGTCCACCATTTTGAGACGCTTCCATTTCTTGCTGGTTTTAGCAGGGAATGAGAAATGGAATGACCCCGACAAAACCCATCCATATGGTGGGTCAAAACCCAGTACCCACAGTGAACATCCCAATCCCCACTAAAATAGGTTCTAAAATGGGTGGTGCACCTGACCCAAAATGGGATCCCAAATTGGTGTTGACCCACGGCACGGTTTCCCTTAAGGGAATCTCACCCGGTTCATTCCCACCCGTCAGCTCCTGGTCTCTCTCCTCGGCGGCTTCCAGAGCCGCCTGCGCCTCCGCCGCCGCGCGCCGCGCCAACTTGGTCTCCTTCTTGGAGAACTTGGCCTCAAAATGGGCGAGAGACCCTCAAAATTCAGGGCGGTCTCCTTCTTGGAGAACAGGCCCTTTCTTGGAGGGGCTTGATTGAAAGTTCCTTTTTTTTAAGGGTCTTTCAAAGGGTGAGATCCCCATTCCCCCCTCAGGACAGAGAGACTCGATTGAAGCCATAGTCCGGAAAAAGCACGCCAAGTGGTTAGCTTTGAAACTCGGGTTGCGCTAGCTGTCAAGCTATCCGATGGGCTCCATTTCAGCAACCGAGGGTTTGGGGGTCCTTGAAAGGGTTTGAGGATCTTTGAAAGGGTGAGTCCACAAATTCTGACCATGTAATATCCGCACAGGGTTTGAGGGTTCCCCTCGCGTTGAGTTCGAGAACTTGTGAACAAAATGGGTGTGTCTTGAAATAGGAATGAGACCCCCAAACAAAGGTGATCTTGGTTTTCCTTTGATTTCCCTTGAAAAACACCTCCAAAATGGGTTCCCTCAAAATAAGACCTCCAAATAATCTGACCAAGAACATCCCCAGAGGTTTTTTGAGGGTTCCCTGATGGTACTGAGCGGGAGACGTTGTCCTCAACCATCCGAGTCAATGAACAAACATGCTAGGCAATGAACACAAAAAAGGACATCGAGCCAAGTGGGGCCCAATTTGGGGTGAATCCCAATTTGAATTGGAAAAAAATGCCAGTGAGGGTTTTGAGGCTCGGAGAACTTGTCAGGCTTCGCCCAATGCCTCGGGTCCTTGAAAGGGATCGGCGTTCAAGTTGTCGATCGGTGGTTTACAAATCCGCTGCAACCCGTTCGGAAAGCCGAGGTTCCTTCTGGTCCTTTGCTTGTTTGCGGTTTTATGCAACCTCCCCGAGGTTGAAACCAAAAGGCTTTGATGTTTTCCTTTGAGTCTTGGCTCAAGGGAGGGTGGCTTCTAGAATGGAATGCAAAACTGAGCCCATCCCGGTTTGAATAAGGCCTGTTCTCATCAGTACAGCTTTAACCACTGGAAGAATCATCATTAGGGCAGAGACGGCATTTGGCCATAGGGAGAGGATTTGACTTGTAGACAGTGATCAGCTGCTTGGGCTGCTGTGTTTGCTGTGTTGCATGTGCTGGATGATATGTTGTCTTGTTTGCTTTCATCCGTGGCGCTGTAAATTCATTTGAATTAGGTGTGGGAAGTAAACCACAAAAACTCTGGTGGTCAAGCCTAGGGGATGCAGCGCGCCCATTGGGTGGTTGCCAAAGAGTAGAGCAGAGCTGTTTCCGCGAAATCAGTGGTTCCAAGTCAGTCATGGCAACAGTACAATGAGCCAGCTTAAGCCAGCCGCAACAGTTAAACTTTGTCCGCAACGTTCGTACAATACCCGTGTAGGTGCACCACACCAACAAGCAGGCTCCTCCACTTGCAATACTCTGGCTAAAGCATACAGGCTCTGGGGAGGTTGGCCAATTTAAAGTCCTTCTGCCCCTTCGATGAAGGGGCAACACCTATTGGGTTTCTGCTACACTTGGGTTGTCCAAATGACGACCACCCAAAAAAGCATGCACCATATTTCCGGGCGGCACAAAGGTGACACCGGACTTTCTTACAGGTTCAGATCTCGAATTGTGTCGCCTCATAAGGGTACCTTTATTTTTCTTTTTCTGTTTTTTCCGGTAGTCTATTTTACTAGGGGAAACCCTCCCCCGAAAAAGGGGAGAGAAGGGCACTGGGGGAGTCACAAAGTTTACACCCAGCTGCCCCAAAGTTTCAACCCTGGAATGCAAGAATCAAGGTTCCCGGTTGCCGCACTCGAGTGGCCCACTTCCTCTGCGCCCAGTTGGACATCCACTGCAGTCCCAGCAGTACGCCCGCCAGGGGTAAGGGCTCGTGGCCCGGCATCCTAGCTTCCCTGCAGGGAAACATCTGGGCACGGGTCAAAATTTAACCAAGGGACTGCAGGTTTTATTGGCTCCATTTACCAGGGCAAGCCATTTTGGGTACCCAGTTTTGACCCACAGCCATCTGCAACATAAAGCAAATCAACTACTCGGGCTGACTTGTTCCAGTAGACCTCCGAAAACCAAGGGAAAAAACGGCCAGTTGAAAAGAAGGATGGCGGAGACAAAAAACAAACAAAACTACTAAAAATCAAGCCTCCGATAAGCAGCCCAAACAACTGCCAGAACAAACATAGGGTATGTATCCTGACATGATGATTACATACAGTAATGATTTGTGATGTTGGCTCTGTCAGCAAGCATGTTTGTCTGTTTTGGTTGATTGGCATGCGGTCCATGGCTATGTGCTGGCTGGCGAATTCACAACTCAATCATTAGTCAGGAAAGTGTTGCAACTTGCCGAGTCAACAAGAAATAGGATGCTTCTGTGGGTAGTGCCGAACCATGCATTCCGGGATGCCTTGAACGCGACAGCGCACACTATATACATTGAACACTGCCAAAGTTGGCTTAATTGAACAATGCCTGAGGTTTTGTGCTTTTGTGTTTTGCCACGAAGCAAGGGCAAAACTGAACATGCTGGTTTTCGCGCGTCTTTGGCAGTATTCAATGTAGCGTTCAATGAGTGTTGTAGCATTCAATGTGGCGCGCCTTACACGCAATACTTTTTCAAGAATTCATATAATGTACCTCATTCTTTCTTGGAGGTCATGCTGGTGTGGTGGAAACCCTCTCAAAAGTCAAGTGCGGGTTTTGAAAGGCTCGCTTACGTGAACACCGACATACCTGGACATGCCCTTCATCCTAAGTTTGCCGAGTGGATCCCAATTCCAAACACACAAACATGTTGTAGTTGGGGGTTGATCACAAAGTCCTTTACATGGGAGGACCATTGGGAAAACCACCAAAAAGACAAACTGTCCCACATGGGAAAAGTTAGCCATGGTCAAAACTGGGGGCCCTAAATGGAAGATGAATCAACCCCCACTTTGGCGACTGCAGTGCCTTCGTGGTGCTCTGGCTCTGGTGCGCCGTTCCGCAGGCAGGGACTGGCCGGGCACCACTGACATGGGCGCAGCGCGTGCATCGACCGGGTGGATGCGCGGTTCCACGCGGACAAATGCCATTGGAAGCCGCGAGCGGCCGCTCCGCTGGCGAGTGAGACGCGACTCAAATGGTTCGAGAGGTGGAAATGGATCCTGAATGGCTTGCTTCTGAATTTTGTTAATCCCGAAAATCTTGAGCCGGGGGGTGGTGTCAAACAAAATGTGAGATTGGCGGCAATTGACGCACAATCCCGCACACCAACATAGGCATATGCAACAATGCATACAGCTCCCACGCACGAACCCATCCGCGCAACCACTCACACATACTCATGCACATAAAAACACATACAAAATATACGCGCTCCCACACCCACTGCCGCTTGCCCACCCGCCCCCAGCCATCCACCCACGGGACGCATGAGCGCGGGGACAAGCCTGCTCGCTCGCTTACTTGCACCAAGCGCGCACACACACAAACAAACACAGAAACAAAAACACAGACACAACCACAGAGACACACAGCTGCAAACACGAGCACACACACACACACACACACACACACACACACACACACGCACGCACGCACATACGCACGCAAGCACGCACGCATGCGCACACTCACACACACACACACAACCACACGCGCACCTGCAGACACACACACACACAAGGTGGGCCAAACTTGAATCGGCTTGCAGTGCTTTGCAAAACACATATAAAAAGAAAGCTCTGTCTTCAGTTTGAATCAGTTTGTTTGCTTTCTCGCACAACTGCAAAGCCGAACTGAAAAAAGCCGCGCCTCCCGCATCTGCGGCGCTCGCCTCTCGGCTGGCAGAGCCCGAGCCGGGTCCTTGCGGTGCGAAATCTCGGCGAAGCTGGGAAGGGACTGATCTCATGGCATTATATTAAAATGGCTCTTTCCGTGATGCCGGCGCCGGTACCAACATGGGCCATCACCAGCATCACTTTGCAGGGCTCTGTCTAGTTTATCACATGGAACAGGTGTGACTGATCTTGACAAAACATGAAGGACGAAAGATACAGGAGAGATACAATCTTGCTCAATTCCTCTCCCTCTCATGTAGATACTTGTGTTTCTGGTAACGGTATCTACGACTTGAAAGACACGTGCTGTCCCAGCAAGGTCGAGAAGGCAAGGATGAAGTTAGTCCGTTGCTCATGGACAATTCCAAGGGATTTGGTTGAATGCGTCATTGATCCTGAGTAAAATCCGTGCTTCAACAGCGATTGGCACACCTGGGTAAAGGTGAGGCTGGCACTCCCTTCAAAGTGACACACATGCGCGGACGTTTCGGAGTTCTCTGTGTACCCCCAAAAGGAGATTCTGGAGATTCTGATTCACCACCACCCCATTGTTGGTGTCCTTTAAAGGCCGAGAAACAGTTGGCTTTTCCACCTTTCTGAGAAACTCCTATTGTGGGAGTACTACAAACAATCTTGGGTTCATGTGGATGGAAGTACGCGCAAACCAGCCACATATGCTGCTTTTGCAGCTGACCAAAAGCTCTGCAACAATTTATGCGGCCCTGACGGTCCTTGATTTTGATATGGACCGATTTTAAGACATGGTAATGGGTGTCTCAAAATCGAGAACCGACCAACATCACATCCCTTCCCCCGTCCTGGGAGCCTGGCCTAAGCTTCAATGAGAGGGGGATCCTATTTGGAGTGAGGTCCTGGGTTCTTGACATACCAGCAGGGTAAGCCATTTTGAGAAGCAAACACCTGGTCTGCGAAACCAGAATATGGAGGTTGTGCCAAAACAGCTGCTTGGACATTGAAATAAGTTGGGACCTGGGTTCCAGATTTTGTGTGGCCCCTCCATAAACAAGCAGGCAATGCCCCTGGATTGGGATCTTGGGTCAATTCAGGTCACTGCGCTTGGCTGAACTGTGAATGTGGCATGCCAAAAAAGGGCCCCCTCAGCACTCAGGGGCATCCACTACTACATTCGCAACTCAAACCACCTGGCAAAGCACTGTAAAGACACCACCCTGGTCCACTGGTGCGTCGTTTGGGAACACAAGGGATACCACATAGGGGGCATCCAAAGGAGAAAAAGTAAAAGCTCGTACTTTCCATCAGGCTCCTTTGAGCTTCCCAAACGCCCAATAGCAAGCTCCATCCCTGGAACTGAAGGAGAGTGCGGGCTAATCGAGTACACATTCTATCCTCCCTGCTGGCCCTCGTTGCCATGGAACACCTGAAAGATCCAAGTGATCTTCCACCCTCCAATAAGAATGCTGGTTGCAAGCTGATTTCTAATGTCCAATCCAAAAGATCCATTGCCCCTTGCCATAGGGTCCCAGACAAAACTCCATATTTGCGGTGGGTAGGGAAGGGAAATGATCAAAGACACTTTCTCCAAACTCACACATGGGGTTATTTTACTTGATCCTCTGGACTCCGGACTTGTCAAAATAATTCATCTGTTCCGAATCAGGATCCTCCCCACTAAGAACCGGGCTCCGACTTCAGAACCAAAAAACGGAGGAACAAAATCAAGTGACATTCAATTAACCCACCACTCTAGGGGAAGCTTCAGGGATCCTTCTTTTCAGGAAACCATCAAAACCCAGGGGAAACAGCTTTCTGTTGATAAAAACAATGGTTGGCAAGAATGGGGAATCAACCCCTAGAACTACAAGGAAATGCACCGACCTGCCATTGACCCTCATCACCGAAGAGCTCAGTTCAGGCCCAGGGCTTGTGCCGCGCAAGACTCACTCAGACAAACATGGTCAACAAAAGGCACACAATATGCAGTGCCACTCTTGAGACACCATCAGCACCAGAAATGATTCAAGTTTCTACAGCGATTGTCTGGGCGTAACTCACATGATCTACATGATCTCTCGCCGTTGATTCAAGGCACTTGCCAACTTGTGCGTTCGCAGGCAATATTTTTACTTAAATTCAAACAAGCTACTTGCAAAGCGGTGATGAGCATTGCTTGTTGTTGGTAGGGCAACTAACTGAACAAGCAGGAAAAAACGCCAATAAACTATAGTTAATTAACACTGCTAGACTGCTGTTGTTCTCTGCACATTGTCAACTATGATTCTACCTTAGGTCGACGTTTTGAACAGGCTCTGCGAAGGTTGTCACTGGTTGACCAATCCACTCTTTAAATAACTTCCGCAGGTAAAAGGGGTGCATAACCTGAATGTAAGTGTTATGAATCATCATCTGTACATGGTCAAACCCAAAGCAAACCA